GCACATCCGTGCTGTGGATCTGCAGTTGTGTGCGTGGAGCAGTACAGGACCACGGATATCTTGGGTTAGGGCAGGGCTGTACCTTTGTTTTGTCTCGTTGTCTGTCACCAGTGTAGCCACTTCCATTCAGAAGTGTCCCCTGAAGTCCAAGGAGTGCATCCCATCCTGGCTGGGGCAGGGCTGAGGTGGCTCATCCCAGCTTGGGCATCCAGCACCATTCCAAGAAATTGCTGGGCTGCAAGAGGGCCTTGCACTAAAAAGCTTTTCCTTTTCCAGCTGCTTGCCTGAGGTCAGCCACACGCCACAGCCAATTTTGGCTGGAGCCAGACCGGAGAGAGTCTTGACTCTGGACTGCAAGCCAAGAGCCTGAGGGCAGCTGGCATGCTTTTCCTTCTGTTTTCCTTCTTGATTAGCAATTTAAGCCAAAACAGAGGCAGCAGAGAGGCCAGGCTGTGCTGGGAGATGCCTCTGAGCTGTAAAGCTGAGCTCTAGCAAGGAACTGTCTTCTTGTTGAGTGGCTTTGCCCAGAAAGGCACTGCCAGGGCTGGTTGCTCCCACATTTCCTGGGAGCTGGAAGGATTCCTGGCCAAGCCAGGCTTTTGAGCACTGATGGGTGTTAGAAGGGCTCTCAGCTGCCTCCACTCCACTTCAAGGAGATGCAGAGCTCCCCGTTGCTCAAGCTCTTGTCCCTGTGCCTCCCCACACACCTCCCTTGTTCAGGCTGGCTCTCTCCAGCCACCAGCACTTGGGAGCAGCCAAACCCTCAGCAGAGGAGTGTGAGCCCAGGCTCTGGCCTGTCCCAGGCACTTGCAGGGCAGTCAGGGAGCTGCAGCTGGAGTCACTCAGGAGTGGGATTGTGGCCCTGCCACAGGCAGCAGCATTCCCTTGGGACCAGCTCATGGATCAGGGGGTGCAACGTTCCCTACATGAGTTACAGGCTGGGGGGGAAAGGACACCTCCCCAAAAGTGCAGTTTGTTCCCTTAACCCCTTTTTTGTTACTATTGTTATTATTATGATAGCAGTCACGCTTGTTTGTTTAGGGCCTGTTTGCTGTTTATAAGAGAAGGCTTTGCCTTAAGTTTAACTCTTTGCACTATGGACTAGATACTGAGCAGATTAAAATCTCCTTTACCAGAAGCTGGGCGCTGCCTCATTCTTGGGAAGGATTTTTTGGGGGAAATGTGTGTTTGTGCCTCCTTTATCCACCCCTGGGCTCCATGGAAAGCCCATCACTCCCCACAAAGGCTCAACATCACCTGCAGGCTCGGGGGTGTTTGCCTCCAGACCAGCAGTGCTGTGGGATACCCTGGAGCCAGGGAAAATCCAGCACCCAGGAGGTGAATTCACACCCAAATCCACTCTGGGTGGGCTTTTAGAGCTGGCAGCCCCCAACTCCTGCTCTGCCCACCCACAGTGAGAGGAGATGGTTGTGAATACACCACACGAGGGGACAGGGAGGAGGGGCTGGGGTCTCCCAGTGTGTTCCAGGCTGGCAGAATGGGACATGTTCATTCCTGTTCCTGCACTGATGCCTCAGACTGTCCCTGGGATGGGGGCAGCACGGGGCTGGGTCTTGCCTTGCAGAAAGGCTGTGGCAGGCTCAGGGTTACTGAGCAGATGCATTTCCTGCAGCTCCTTGGCTCGGAGCTGAGCTCCTGGCAGGTTGCTTTGTGCTTTTAAGCACTCTCTGCTTCCCCAGCATCCTCATAAATTGTTTGGAAAACAGGACTCTGATGGGCAGAGACTCCAGGAGTCCTGGCTTGCCCTGCCCTGGCAGGGCCATGCCAGCAAAGTGGCTCATTTTAATCAGGATGGAAACCAAGAGAGGGGAGATGGGAGCTGCTGGGAGGCCAGAAAGAGGCAGATATCTGCTCAGGCACAGGCAGGAGGGCAGTGCTGGCAGATAACTGGGTAAACTGAGGCACTTCTCTGGCTCCTAGGGTGTGACCTGAGGCTGGCTGGGCACCTGGGGAGGCTGCAGAGGGGGCAGGAGGGTGGGATCGGCAGGGAATGTCTGTCCTGCCCTGCCCAGGCAGCCCCGGCAGGGGATGGGAAGGGCGCTCGGCCACCTCAGGCCACCGCAGCCGAGCTTTCCCAGAGAGGACAGGATGTGCAGGACACGGCCCTCCCCCGGGAGCCATCGTGCACACACTTGGCTCAATCTCTGCTCAAGCAGCCCGCAGTTGCAGGAGGAAAATGCAACCACCTCCGTGCTAATGGACAAGCTGGGTGAGCCCTGCCCGCCCCGGCACTTCGGGTTTGGTGCAGGGCTGCACAGCCCGGGCCGCTCCAGGACAGATTTGGACTCCTCGGGGTGTTCCCTGCTGCAGAACGTGCTTGGGAGGCTCCCACACGAGCCAAGCTGGCTGCTCTCAGCTCATCAAAGTGCCCAGACCCTTCCCCAAGGAGAGAGCAGCGCGATGCTGCCCAGTTTAGGAGCACCGGGGTGGTGGGCTCTGGCAGCCCGCTGAAAGCAGGAGCCCCCAGGCGCTGGGAAAAAAATCTCTTTATCAGCCCAGCTGCAACTCCCCCTCCCTAATGAGCCTCTCGCCACAGCCTGGGGACAAGAGGCACGGTCTGCCCGCCGGCGGGGAGCGCAGATGCGGCGCAGCAGGAGCGGGAATGATACCCGGCCGGCAGGGAGGGAGCAGGTGAGGATCTGCAGCAGAACCGCGGGGAGCCTTCGGGCTGCTGCCGGCTCCAGCTTGGGCTCTCATTAGCGAGCCAGCGCAGGGAGCCTCAGCAGCTCCCCGACCGCGGTGCCTCGCAGCCTCGGGGACACCGAGGTCACCCAGCCCAGAGCAGCTTGCTCGGTTCTGGGGACAGCAGGGTTGCCGGTGTCTCCGTGGGGGGAGACTCTGCTGCCCCTCTGAGCAGCCCGTGGCAGGGTTTGATCAGCACCTCTCAGCCCTGCTCGTGGGGGTGGACCTGAGTTTGGAGGAGCTGATCCTCTCCAGGCCATGGGATTCTCCCAGGGACATCCCTGAAGGAGCCAGTGTCTGCTCTCCTGAAATCCAGGCTTGTGGTCCTTTTCTTGCCCACCCCGCCCCCACGTGAGCAAGGATTGTCCCCTCCCCTGCCATGCCCAGGTTAAAGGTCTCCTTACCAGGTCAGCAGTCCTGAAGATGTCTGGGAGTGTTCCCTGTCCCTCAGCAGCCATGGGGCCTCTGAACCTGGGCCATAACCAAACTTTTGGGTGGAGCAGGAGCCATCCTGCTGCTGCCAGGAGTCACCAGGCCACCCTTCACCTCTGGGGCATTTCCACACTCTGACACCATAAGCCCTGTGCAGCTGTAGGGCCTCAGACATGGCCCAGTTGATCTCTTTAATCTCTGGTGCCTGCTGACCTCCTCAGGTGACCTTGGAGTGCCAAGGACACGAGTGCTGCTCTGAAAAGAGGCGCTGACATTTATTTTTGTTTCTAAAAACCCACAAAGCAACCACAAAAACCTCAAAAGAAATGACAAAATTACCTAACTGCTGCCTCTGTGAGCTGCACTCAGCACCTGTGGGCTCAGCCTGGCTCTTTTATAGGCTCCTCTCTTGCCCTGGCTGAGGGATGCTGGTCCCTCCCTAGCCTGGGCTCTGCTGGAGCAGGGTCTCCAAACTCTCCTAACTCAGGGAAGCTGGCAGAGCTCATCTAAAGCACCTGGAGCTTACTAGGAACTTGTCAAAGTCTCCTGTGGCTCTCCTTCCTTTTTCCTTTTCCTTTCCTTGCCCTCTTCCTCATCCTCCCTAGGCAGCAGCAGACACCCTCACATTCTCACAGGGCTCCCCCTGATCCCAGACAGTGTCCACACAGCCAAGAGCATCCCAAAGGAAGCAGAGCCCAGGAGCTGCCGTGGCTGCCTGTGCTGAGCCCGCTCCCCCACATCGTGCCAGGGACCAGGGAATGCTCCCAGCCCCCACCCCCCTCTTCCAGAAATTCGCTTTCCTCCTCCCAGAACAGCCATCGATCTGCTCTGCGGCGGTGTCGTTTGCCTCCTGAGCAGCTCTGCTTACAGAAGAAGCCATCTCCAACCCAAACAGAGGCTTCCGCTGACACCCGCCCCCGGCGCTGCCCGAGGGGCTGGGGGGAGGCTGCAGCGGAGCCCCTCTGCCCCCCAAAGGGGCACGGAGGTGTCCCCCAGCACCTCCACACGTCCCCACGGGCTGGGGGTGGCCCGGGCAGGTTGCAGTGGTGTGCCCATGGTCCTCAGTGCCGCAGAGGGGTGGCACTGGCCCTGTTGGGTGGCATGCGGTGCCATCCTGCTGCAGCCCCCGGTGAGCAGGGACACGGGGTCCGCTCATCCCGACGGGCACAGCTGTACTCCTGGGGGCCCATCCGGCACACATGGGGGGCAGTGGGGGATCCGGGGCAGAGGAGGGGTGGCTGTCCGGCTGTGTTCGGAGTTCCAGGGCTGGGGAACGCTGCAAGGTCCCGCTGGCACGGCCAGAAGAGCCGGTCCCAGCTGGCACCCTACAGCCGGGCAGGGCAGAGTCCCAAGCCCATTAAGGGGTTCGGCCGCTGGCCAAGAGCCCCCTCCCCGGCTGATCCCCTCAGGGACCTATTTTGGGCAAGGAATGAGGAAGCTCTTCATTCCCCTGCTAAAAATAGCGACCTTTCCCAGCGGCGGGTCACCGCTTTCACACTGGGGCGGGGGGCTCGGCCAGCCCCGTTCTGGGACTGACGGGCCAGCCCCGGACCCGCGGCTCCGCTCCCCCCGGGGTGGCCCTGGCAGCATGGGGACCCTCCCATCCGGCGGGACTCGGTCCTCGGGGGGACCCCGGGGGTGCTCCCGAGCCTTGGGGAGGTGCCGGGGGCGGTGGCAGCGCTGCGCTCACGACTCAAGGACGCCGATGCCACCATCTAGCGGCTCTCGCTGGCCCTGCGGGGACATCCCGACACGGTGGCCCCGGCCCGGAGCCCCCAGGCAGGGCTGCGCAGCCCCCTCCGCCCCCGGGGGTCCCGCGGCACGCAGGGGCGCGCAGGCAGGCGGCACACGCGGAGATGAGCAGCCCTTTATTGAGGGGAGGGATGGGGCAGGACCCCCGGGACGGGCTCCTGGCCACTCAGCCCGGCTTGCCCTGCCCTGGGGGTGCCCAAAATAACAGCGAGCTCTGACCCAGCGCTGCTCCAGGGGGGCTCCGTCACCCCCGCGATGGCACAGGGAGCGTTTCTGTGCCCCGAACGGGGCAGGGGTCGCGCTGCCCCGGCTCCCACCGCGCTGGGGGCTGCGAAGGGGCACCTGCCCGGCCCCACCCGCAGCCGAGGGCTGGCTCAGGCGAACACGGCGGAGTTCTGCCAGTAGGAGTAGACGAGGAAGCCGGTGAAGGTGCTGTCCGTCTTGACGCTGGCGTAGAAGCCGATGTAGTCCCCCACCCCTACCTGCACCCACACCTCATCCTCGGGCTCCAGGCGGACCAGGGTGCCCCCAGAGAGCGAGGTGGGCTTGGGCCAGTTGCCGTAGTACTGGAAGAAGGAGGCGATGGAGTGGCCGTTCTTCATGATGTCGAACTGCAGGCTGGTGCGGTACACGGTGGCGTGCACGGCGAAGTAGTACAGGCCGGGCACCTCGCAGGTGAACTTGCCCGTGGCCGGGTCGTAGTGGCCCTGCTCGTTGATGAGCACCACGTCGAAGAGGATGGGCTGGTCGGCCAGGGGAGGGCTGCGGGACTCGGAGCGCTTGGCGCTGAAGGCGGAGCGAGGAGCCACGGCGCACTCGCCCTGAGCGCCCTTCTCGCCGTGCAGCCCGTCCACGCCGGGGCTGCCCACCTCCCCGCGGGGACCGGGCACTCCTGGGGTAGGCAGGAGGGGCAGGGTCACCTCTAAGTCACCAACACAGCTCCTCCACCCCTCCTGCCCAGTCCCAGTTGCACCAGTTCCCTGCCACAGCTAGGCACTGCGTGGGGAGGGATGGGTGTGTAATCAGCCCAGCATCAACAAATCTTTGGAGGAACACTCACAGGCTGGGGGAAAGCCCAGCCCAGGAGCCAGGGCAGGGATTATACAATTCCTGGTGGTCCCTCCTAAAGCAGGGCTGGAAGGGTGGGGTGGCATTTGGGATGGGGACAAATGCGGCTTCACCAGTGACAGAGAGCTGCTGCCTTTTGCAGAACACAGGGGCACGGCAGGCAGGGCCAAGGGGTGGTGGTGGCATGGGAGGGGCACTTCTGCAGGATTCATTCTCTGTTTGGCAATTTGTGCCAGCATGCAGGACTCACCCCCTGGCATGAGGACGCTCCCCATGGGCAGGGAATGGCAAATCCCCCTCCCCAGCTGGGATCTCTCCTTTCTTACCAGGAGGGCCCATCTCGCCCTTCTCCCCTGGCATCCCCATGGCTCCATCCCGGCCATCTCGTCCGTCTCTGCCTGGCAAACCCTGGCCCCCGTGCAGGCCCGGGGTCCCCGGGATGCCCGGCTGCCCTGAGCACAGCCCAGGGATCTTGTTGTCTTCGATCTGCAAGGAGCCGGTGATGAGCCCGAGGAGGAAGAGGAGGAACAGCTGCTTCATCTTGTCCTGGAGGCGGGGCAGAGAGGGATCACAGCTCTGGGGACCACACTGAAGAGGGTTGTGGGTGCCTGACAGGGAGTGTGGGGGGTCAACAGGGGATATTCCCCCCTTCTTTTCCCTTTACCTTTTGGGCTGCTCCTCTCAGCGAGGCCCCGGTGCTGCCTGCACCTGCCACAGCATCCCGTGTGCCACCACAGCACCCTGCAGCCCCGGGACAGCTCAGGACGTGTGTGGGGCGTGGGTGTAGGGCAGGAGCTGTGGCAGTGGCTTTGTGTGTGAGGCTGGGGGCTCTTTGGGGTGGGCACTGCCCCCATCGTGCCCAGCTACGGCGGGGAACGGGCAGGGGGATTTGGGGCTGGGGGCTGGTGAGCGTGCCTGGGGTGGGGTTGTTGCCTCTGGGGGCGGCAGCCCGGAGAACGCGGGGCCGTGTCGTGGCCCTGCCCTTGGCAGCATCCCGGCTGCCGGCGGCTCCGCTCCACCCCCGGCCGGCTGCAGCATCCCCGGCCGCGCCGGACCACCCCCCGCTGCCGGGACCACCCCCCTGCCCGGGCTGCCCCCAGCCCTTCCCACAGCAGCGCAGCGAGGGCTGAGCCCCAGGGCCAGCGCTGGCCCCCTCCCCGTGGCCTTGACCCAGAGGAGCTGCTCTCTTCCCCCTCCACGACGGCAACAAAGAGGAAAAGGAGGAGAAAAGTGTCTCTCCTCCGCCCAGGCGCCGGAGCCAGGAAGCCAGGGAGTCCCAGCTCCCCCCGGCTGGGTATCCCCACTCACTGTGATCCTGTGCTCCTGTCTGGGACCTCGCTGCTCGCCGCTGTGGAAGGGCTGAGGCTCTTCCTGGCCACTTGGCTCTGACGAAGGCCCTAAGAGAGGCAGCCTCTCCACCCCCCCTCCTCCCCACGTCTCTCCTCCCAAACTCCAAAGGAAATCAAGGGCTTTGGGAGCCAAAAGCTACAAGACAAGGGGAAAAAGAAAAATAATCCCATGATGTCGGAAGTGCTGTAAGCAGGGGGAAGGGAGAGCACTGCAAACAGCCCAACCGAGGGAGAGGAGGCACAGGATGGGAACCTCCTCAGCTGGACAGGGCTGGGCACCAGGGCAGCAGGGTGGAGAGGAGGAAAACAGGGAGAACAGGCAGCAGAGGGAAAGAAAACAAGATAAAGGGTGAAGAGGAGAGCAATCCAGCAAGGCAGAGAGAGATGGAGTGGCAGAAAGGAGAGGGAGCTCTCAGGGTGTGCGGGTGCCCTGACTGGCAGCTGAGCTGAGGCAAAGGGATGGCAGAACACACACTGCCTGGCAGTGCCAGCCCTGGGAGCACGCAGGGGAAGGCGCAGGATCCATCTGGGCAGTCCCAGCACGTTGGGCTGAGCGTGCAGGGCAGGTGGAAGGGCGGGCAGAGCAGCGCTGTGCCCGTGCCAGGAGGCAGGGCTGGCCCCGGGGACTGCGGAGCACGCGGCGAAGCTTTCGAGGCGCTCCCAGCTCGCCTTAAACTCGTTCCAGCGCCGAGTGCGTCCAAGGGACACGGTCACACGCTGGCCAGAGGGCGGGCTTGCGGCTGGGGATGTCCCTGTGCCCAGCAGCACAGGGACATGAAGGGAGAGAAGGAGCTGGGGGGCTCAAACCCCCCGAGCTGGTTGGGAGTGGCAGGTCCGTGCTGGGTATGGGGGCAGAGCGGTGCTGACACCAGTGGGTCCTGACCCCAGAGACCCCAGCCAGGCTGGGGATTTCTACACATGCTCAGGGTAGTGGGAAACACAATGGCACTCTCTCCTCCCCGTGCCACAGCCTGCAGTGGAGCTGGGGACATTGCCAAATGTTCCTTCCAGACCTGGATGCCCATGGCCAGGCTGGGTGCTGGCAGGAAGCCACCTCTCTCCTAAGGTGTGAAGGGACTGTTGTTTTTGGCCAGCTGGACACTGGTTTGTGGCCATGGGTGTTGCCAGGCTTGTGGCTACGAGGGTGGCCTTCAGCCAGCACAGCCAGCTCAGCCAGCTCAGCCAACAGAGCTACTTCCACTCTTGGTGGTGCAGGATCCCTTCCCTACACCATGGGGCCACCAACTGAAACCCCTGTGAGACCCATCCGTCTCCCTGGGACCCTGCAAGCCCCCTGCCCAGTGAGGGCACAGCCAGCTGCCCACTCTCCCCTGCAGTCTCCCCTGTGCCCCTCCATCCCTGCTCAGATCCCTGCCCCATCCCTGCCTTCCCTCCCTCCAGCCATTCCTCAGTTTCCCTGGGATCTGGCAGCACCCCCACACAGACCCCAGATGAGTCACCTGCTCCTTTGGGTTTGTCAGCTGCTCACGCTGTTTATTCTGCTGGATTTGGGGCTGTGGGACACGGGCAGCCCTGGGCTCCTGTCCCTGCAGCCTGGCTCACCTCTGCCCAGCCTTGCTCTGTTTGGGGAGCATTAACCCTTTCCCTCGTGCCCCTCCAGCACAAGCCTTTCCCTGTGGGATATGTCACCTGCTCTCTAGGGAAATGGAGTTTTGGGCAAGCCCGTGGCATCCAGGCACCACGGCAAGCACTGAGCACAGGGCCTGACCCCAGGGCACCTGAGGGGCCACCCCAACAGCTGGGTATTTACAACAGGGAGAGCACAGGAGGGACATTTGGGGTGGGGAGGGTGGTTCAGCCCCTGCTGCTCTCCTCTCGCCGGCTCAGGGCTGGAAGCACTCTACGGGGTCGCTGGAGTCGGGCAGGATGTTGCAGTTGATGGGCCAGAGGATGCCGAGGAGGCCGAGGGACTGCCGGCAGCGCAGCTCCGCCGCCAGGCACACGGCCCGGCAGGGCTGCAGCACGCCCCCGTCCGGGATGCACTTGGGCACGAAGAGGCTGCAGATGAGCAGGCGGAGGTGCTGGTAACACGCCAGCTCCATCAGCGTCTGCGGGACAGCGGGGACAGCGATGTGAGCCCAGCACGGCAGGCTGAGGACAGCCCCGCGGGCAGCCCCCGGCCAGCTCACCTGGTAGTCCTGCAGCACCTCGGCGGCTCCCTCCTGGTCCGGGATGGCCAGCCAGATGTTGGGGAAGGAGGTGGCGTTGTAGCCCAGCCCCAGGCACATCTCCACCTCCACGGGCTCGCAGACAGACCCTGCCACAGGGAGAGGGGATTCGCTTGTGCCAGCGGCAGGGCTGCCAGCGTGTGCCCGGGGCCAGCTGGGCTCGGGGCGGGGCACCCAGGGGTGGTGGCACTCACCGAAGGCAGGATAGGACACCCCGGTGCAGTTCAGCTCGTCAGTGCCGTCGGGGCAGTCGTGCCAGCCGTCACACACAGATTCCAGCGCCCGGCACTCGCCATTCCCACAGGAAAACTCCGCAGGGCTGCAGGTCTCTGGAAGGGGAGAGGGCAGGGCATGGCTGGGAGTCAGCGTGTTCCCATGCTGACCACCCCTGGCTTCCTCACTGTGCAGGGGATCTGGCAGATGCAGTTTAGGGAATCCCAAATTCCCTGGGTTTTTTGGGGCAGCCCTCAGGTCATGGATGATGCCTCTGTGCAGGTGATCCCTCCCAGGTCCCATGCCCAGGGCTGTAAGGTTATAGACTAAACCAGGTGAGAAGGGGCCCCAGGGCCTTTTGCTCCAAGCAGGGCCAGCTTTGGAGCAAGAGCTGTTTTTCCCAGGTTTCTATCCAGCCTGGCCTTGAAGCCTCCCAAGGATGGAGGTGGCACAACCCACCCTGGACAGCCTGTGCCCCCGCTTAGCTACCTACTCTCCGTGGCATTGCGGGCTTGGTAGGTGGCAAAGAACCCCTTATCTGCAACTCCCTCGTCTGCCACGAAGAGGACGGTCATGACGTGCCGTGAGGAGGTCAGGGTGGGTGGCAGCTGGTGGCCACAAAACCTGCCGAGATCATGGGACAGGAGATGGGGTCAGGGGGCTGACCAGCACCTCCCCAAACCCTGCCTTTTGGTGGCTCCTCCCCACCATCCAGCCCCGTGCCTCAGTTTCCCCAGGTAAGCCATGGCTCCTGTGTCACCAGGGTGGCACAGCAGGCCCGGGGGTGTCGGGTACCTGCCCATGAGGCTGGCGGTCCCCGTGCCCGCGCTGTCGTGCACCTCCACGAAGTCGAAGCTGCAGTCCTCGTGCGACTCCAGGCTGAAGTTGTGGAAGTGCAGGTCGATGACGTGGCCCAGGGGCACCGAGATCTGCCAGAGGCACAGCTGCGGGGCGGGGGGGCAGCCGGCGACACCCGTGAAGCTGGGCAGGGGCACCCCCAGCTCTCCCCGGGGCCGGGGTTGCCTTCCTCCCCTCCCACCCTCGCCCTCCCCGTGCTCCCACAGCGCCCCTTCTCTCACCTGCTGGTGCGGGTATGGCTGCGGGTGGTTCGGGGTGGACAAGTGCCCCTCCAAGGCGGTCAGCGGTCCCCCACATTCTGGAGGGGGGCACACACACACAGATTTTCCCCTGCCCCTCTCCCTTCCCTCCATCTCCCCGCTCCCGGCCCATCCTCGGTGCCGGGGGGGGCTGGGGGCTGCGGGTGGGGGTCTGTCCCTCCCACCTTTGTGTTTCAGGCTGCAGTTGGCCTCGTCGCTCCTGTCCGTGCAGTCGTGGAAGCCGTCGCACACGAAGCCCAGCTGGAGGCAGAGCCCGCGGTCACACAGGTGCTCGTCCCAGGCGCAGCTCTCTGCACGCAGCCACAGACACCCAGGCTGGAGGGGGGGTTCCGCCGGGCACCCTCCCCTCCCCGCTGGCTGTCCCCACTCCCTGCCAGCCGGGAGGGACCCTGGCAGTGCCCTGGGTGGGGGCACTCACTCTCGGCGGGGGCCACGGCGCGGTAGCGGGCGCTGAAGCCCTGGGCGCCCACGCTGCTGTCGGACACGAAGGTGACCCGCAGGCGGTTCGAGTCGGTGTTGAAGGTCGGGGGGGGCACGTTGCCACAAAACCTGGGGGCACAGCAAGGGCTGGCACCGCTCGCTGCCCCCACACTGCCACGCTCCCCAGGTGTGAGGAGCCCTACCTGGTCGGGCTGTCCCGAGCCGGGGAAGGGGCAGTGCCGCCGGTGCCCGGCTCTTCGTAGAGCTCCAGGCGGTCGAAGAGGCAGGAGGCCGTGCTCTCCACGCTGAACGTCTCCATCCTCAGCTGGATGGCGAGGCCGGCGCTCACCTCGATGCGCCAGATGCAGAGGGCGTTAGGGGGGTAGGGGCCGGGGTAGTTGGGGGAGCTGAAGGAGCCCTCGGGGCCCCGCAGGGTCCCTCCGCAGGCTGAACGAGAAAACAGCGTGGGTATGAGCTGGAGCAGGGCACCCTCATCCCGAGACGCTGCCCCACTCGGGACTTACCCGGTGCTGCTGTGCGGGCCGTGGGCAGCCCGCTCTCGGTTGGGGTGGCAGCTGTTTTGGGGGCCGGGGGGTCCCTTCGGATGGGTGTTGTGGCGGTGGTGGCAGTGCCGCGGGCGGGCAGGGCCGTGGCCGGGGCGCCGGGGGGATGTGGGGACGTCAGCTCTGTGCCCAGGGAAGAGCAGGGATTGCTCAGCCCCAGCGGGGAGGGAAGGGGCTCAGGAAGCCCACCCAGCCCTGTGCTCCCACCTTACCCACAGGTGTGCAGCTCCCAGGGGATCCCGCGCTGCTGGAACACATCCCACGGACAAGGAAATCCCCCTTGCTCCTGTGCATGGGGTCACCCTCTCCCCCCAGGGGCAGACAGGGGGTGTGCTGTGGGTGCCCCCCTCCCACCGTGAGCCGGTTCTGTGTCCCCCACCCCAGTGACAGCCACCTCCCGGCTCGGCACTCACGGTGGATGACGATGCCGAGCAGGAGGGCGATGAGGAAGAGCAGGATGGCGCTCATCAGAGCCACGCAGAGCCAGGTGAACTTGCAGTCGGCGCGGTACCTCCAGCCCACCTGTGCCCACAGCTGCTGGCCTGGAGGCGAGGACAGCGGGCAGAGCTGCTAAGCCATTCCCGCACCTCCCTGCCCGGCGGGCTCAGCCCTCGCTGGGCGCGTCCCCGCCGTGCCGATGTGTCCCCAAGCAGCCCCAGCACCCCGCTCCTGCAGCCCCATGGGCAGGGGTGTGTACAAACCCCCAGGCTGGTACCGAGGCCGTCCCGGCGCGGTGCGGGGCCGGTCCCATCCTTGTCCGGCGGGTGCTCCGCGCTCGGTGCCGCCCGGGGCTCCTCGCCCTCAAAAACGGGGTTGCAGAACTCGGTCTGTGGGACAGCGAGCGCGGGTGGCACCCTGGGGACCCGCGGGGGGACCCGCGGGGACCATCAGCAGCGCCCACACCCCCAGCCCTACCTTGCTACCGTCCAGAGCCTCGGGGCAAAGCGTGATTTCGGTGAAGTCTTTCATGGCAGCAGGAGGTTCCCGGCGCAGCCTGGCTAAAACGCTGCCCAGTGCCCTGTGCCCCCCAGCGCCACCACCCGCTCCTCCCCAGCTGCCCCCATGGGTTCCGGGGCGGGGGTGGTGGCAGTGCCAGCTCTACACGTGGCAGCCCAGCGCCGGAGCCCACCCGAGGGCCATGCCCGCCGCGCCGGGAGTGCGGGGAGCCCCGGGAGGCAGCAGCAGCCCCAGTCCCCTCCGCAGGCCCCTTCCCCCTCGCCCCGTTAATCCAGCTCAGCTGAGGATGCCGAGGTCAGGCTCTGGCACGGAGAAACAGCGTCTTAAAGGGGAACGAGTGCTCGCACCCATCCCGCTGGGAGCCCATCCCCAAGAGACCCCGCTGCTGGGGTCCCCACACGGCACCTTGGTTTTCCAGCAGGCTCCTCACTGCTCAGGGCAGCGCTGAAGGGGCCGTGTTGGGGACCCCAGGCTGAGCATGTCCCTCCTGCCCTCTCTGGGTGCCTGGGCCCTGCCACCTGCATTCCTGCTGCCCCTTAATGCCCGTCTCCTTCCCTAAGCAGGGGAGAAAAGGGCCATTGTTCAGGGGTTTTGAGGGAACAGTGCGGGCACCGGGGAGCTCCGTGGGGCTGGAAATGCTCCTTCTGCCACCTGGAGCCACATCTCCCTTGCTGCAGGCAAGCCCTGAGTTGTTCTGGTCCATGGGTGCCCCTGGGGCTCCACCGGCGGCAGCTCCCCACCCCCTGCCAGACCACCCAGAGACAAAACACACGCACCCAGCGCCCTGTTCAAGCTCAGATTTATTCCTGCACGAGTCTCCCTTGTATGAGACACTTCCCACCCGTCTTGCTTACACAGTAAACAAGCCACCTGCCAAGCAGCATCGCTGCCCCAGCCCAGCTCCTGCCGCGGGCAGCCCCCCTTTCCCATCCTGCCCCCCCTGAGCCCCGCTGGGATGCCCCAGGCTGGGCAGGATGCTGGTGCCAGCGCTCAGCCCGTGCCCGCAAGGCAGCGAGGGCGAAGCCGGCCGGGTGTGGGTTGGATGGAGCTGCCTCGAGGGCTGGGATGGTGCCCGTGTCTCCTCCCGCTGCACCTCAGGCAAGGCAGGACGGGGAGGAGAATAAATTAAAGGCTAAAAAGGCCACTGGCATTTGCTAGCTGGAGGACAGAGCAGCAGGGTGGGTCCCCGGGCACCCAGGAGGGCTCCTGATCACAGGGAGAAAAAAGCCCCGATTGCAGATGGTCCCGGAAAGCCACCTTCCTCCCCTCCCTCTCTGTGTGACCCCCGCGGCCCCCCGCTCCCCTAAATGGTTTAAGGCACCGTCGTATGAGGAGGCAGGTAAAAACCTACCCGGAGCAGCCCCGGCACAAGTCCCTGGAGAGGCAGGAAGCAGCGGGGGGCTCCAGGTTGAAGCGAAGTCCATTATAAATACATATAAATTCCACAAAATGTTTTCCTCCCTCCTGTCCGTGAGTCTGGGCTCAGGCTGCTTTGAGGAGTGTGTGTGGGGCAGCTGCAGGGGATGTGCTGCCTGAGACAGGACGGAGGCCACGGAGGGCTGGAGTCCTTTGCCAGGAGGTTTGGAAGTGCTGGGAGGAGACCGGGAGCAGTTCATGGATCCTCTGGGACGGCCAAGCAGATACAGGAGTGGCAAGAGGTCAGGAGGGATGTGTGAGGCTCTCCTGGGTGCTGTCCCAGGGGAGAAGAGGTCCTGGTTGAGTCAATGGGACAGGTGGCCCCATTCCTGTAGAGTCCCTTGCTCAGGATTTTTATTACACACCGAAAAAAAAAAGAAAAAAAAAGAAAAAAAAGGAAAAAAGAGGGATAAAAAAAGAAAAGAAAAAGAAAAAAGAAAAAAAAAGAAAAAAAAAAGGAAAAAAGAGAAAAAAAAAAAAGAAAAAGGAAAAAAATAATAAAAAAAGAAACTAAAACCCCGAGGTAAAAACCAAATGCCAGCAATCAGAAGGCGCCTGAGCTGCCTGAGCCCTGTCCTGTCACGAGTCCCTCCTCAGTTTGGAGCTGGGATGTCCTTGCCCGGGCTCTGCTCCTGGCTGTCCCCAGCCTCCCTCTGCAGCCACCTCGGGGGTGTCTCCTCTTCGCCTCCCCCTTGCTCTGGGGGGGCTGAACGCCCGAACCCTGGCGGAGCCGGCTCTGAGGGGTGGCCCAGGGCTTCCCCAGGGAGGCAGGGCTGGCTACATGCGGGAGGACGGGCTGGCCAGCTCGTAGAAGAGCAGGTAGGCATCGCTGCTGCGCACGTGGCTCGAGGACATCGGGGTGACGCTGCAGAGAGGGGAAGGGGACAGCTGTGAGCGGCAGGGTTGGGATGCCCTGAGCAGGGGGTCCCTGCTCGCTTGTCCCACCCCAGGCTCACCGGGAGTCGTTGAAGGTGTGCCACTCGCTGGACACGGGGCTCTTGCAGTAGGCTGTGTAGTGTCCCCCCATGGTGGTGCCCGAGTGGTTGGAGACGGCGTAGAGGTTGTAAACGGCGTGGTCTGTGGGGAGCAGGGGTGCTGCTCAGCCCTGCAAAGTGCCAGCACAGAGCCCCCCACCATGCCAGCAGCTCCCCTGGATTCCATGCCTCCCACCCCTCACGCCTCTGCCCCCCACCAGCTGAGGAGCCCAGGAGTCCCCAGGAGCTCAGGGCTGGGATTAGAGGGACTCACTGCAGCTCTGCGAGGCGAATTCCCGCAGGTCCAGGTCCTTCAGCGGGAAGTTGACGAAGGTGGTGAGTTTGCTGCTTCGTATCCTGGCCTCAGAGAAGCGCTTCAGGTCTGGAGGGTCACGTCAAGGAGCCAAAGGGACAAAGGGGAGCCTGCAATAACCCATCTCTGCCCACCACCACAGCCCCTGTCCCTTTCCCTCTGCCCGAAGGATACGAAGCACCAGGATCTTGGGGAACTTCTGGATGCTGAATTTTTTTGTGCATCTTGTCCTGGCTTTGCAGCGACAACACGTCTGTGGGAGAAAACAGCACAAACAGGAGGGTGAGGGCACTGCCCACAGTCCTGGCAAGACAAGCACAGAGGGGAGGGGGCCCAGCCTGCCCCAGGGAGCCCCCTGCCCCATATACCGGTTTCTCGTCCCCATCCAGCACGTCCTCTTTGGTGAAGAGCCGGAGGCAATCCATGAGCGTCACCTCCCCGTAGCTTTTCTGTGGGAGTACAGTGATGGTTAGGGACAAGCAGCGTGGGACAGGCAGTGTGGGACAGGGATGGCTGGGGCTGCCTCACCTTGGGGATGGGCAGGGACAGGTCCCAGAAGGGATCGAAGGCCGTGGAGCAGTAGCCACACTCGCTGCAGGTCAGAGAGCTCTTCAGCTGCCCAACGAAGAGGTCTGGTGGGGTGGGACAGAGCAGGGTGAGAGCCCTGATCCCCCCCTCAGTCCCAGCCCAGCCTGTCCTCCCTTCCCCCAGCCCTGCTCACCGCTGATGCGGCTGTCCTCCCTCTCCTGGTACCTCCTCCACATCTGCCGGCTCTTCTCGTCGTCACTGCAAGGATGGGGACACAGCAGGCACTGAGCATGGCCTGGGGGACACCAGCCCCGCCACCCAGCCCAGGGGGACCTGTGAGGTCACTGTCCCTGGGCTGGCCTTGCGGGCAGTGGACTCTTCTGGGGCTTGCGCGGTGCCAGCACTTACGGGAGGTGATCCAGGGTGTCGGTGCTGGCCCGGGGCCGTACCAGCACACGGTTCACCTCGCTGTGCAGCCCGTCCAGCAGGAACCGCAGGAATTCCTGTGCATCCTGCTGGCTGCAAGACACGGGGCATGGCCAGTGAGAGGCGGCAGGGGGCTCAGCTCCCCCCACCACCCTGCAGCCACCCCCCCTTACTTGTAGCCGACGAAGCGTGGGGCGTATCTCTGGATCTGCGTCTTGAACTCGGAGGGGCTCACGCTCTCGTTGGGGGATGAGGTCCAGAGCAGCTGAATCAGCTTTGCAAACTCTGCAGGCAGAGAGGCAGGTCAGCAGAGGAGGTGGCACGGCCATGCCCCCCATGGGGACAGCTCAGGGCCACACTCTGGGGTCTCTCAGCCTGATCCTCCACTGGCTGGGCAGCCCAAGGAGGAGCATGGAGCTCTGGGTGGGGGTCCTGCAGCATGCGGGGCGTCGCAGGGATGTGCTGCAGGAATTGCTGCAGGGAAGCCCCCGCAGTCAGCAGGGGCCAGGCTGGGCAGTTACCTGACATGAGCGCCGTGCGCATGCGGCTGTTGTTGTTGAGGTCCCGCAGGTACTGGTTCTGCAGGCAGTAATCCCGCAGCTCCTTGGTGTTGCTCAGGCACTGCAGGATGGAGTTCATGAAGCACTGGGGGAGGCAGAAGAGAAAACCATGGCAACGGGAAGCAGAGGGAGGCAGGCCGTGGCAGGGGGACACCTGGGCTGGGCACAGGACAGGGGAAGCTTCTCCCCAGGCAGCGCCGTGGGGAGAGGGGTGCAGGGAACTGCCAGGGTGGGGTGTTGGGGGTGAGGTGAAAGGACAGGGCTCCCCCTGCCCCACAGATGTGCCCGGTGTGAGCCACAGGGCTGGGGACACACTCACCGTGTTGCCGAGGTTCCGCAGGCCGGTCAGCCCCTGCACGGCCTTGGAGCTCTGCAGAGAGAGGGAACAGTGCTGGGAGGGTGACGGGCTGGCCATGCCTGTGGGCAGCCCAGCGAGGCCATGGTGCCACAGTCCTGCCCGTGGAGCAGACCCTCAGGTGCAAGGAGAGGCCCCATCCCGCTGTGACATCATGGGCAGAGCCAGCACCGAGCAGCTCTCTGGGCAAGGGCCTGGTGACAAACCATGGCTGGCCTGCCCTGTCCTGCTGGCCCAGGACTATGCACAGGGCTCAAAGTTCTCCCTGCCTGGCAACGCTTTTGCCCCATGCCCTGGATTGCAGGTCAGGCTGCCTCCCCTGGGGACACTGGGGCACGGCAGTGCCCTGTGCCTGCCACATGCTGCAGGAGGAGCACAGTGCCCTGTCACTGCCTGCCTGCCTCATGCCAGGTGTCCATCCCCTCCAGGACACCCTGCACAAGCGCAGCCCAGGCTTTGGCACAGCTGTCTTGCAGGATAAAGTCCACCTGGGAAAGTGCAAGCCCAGCCCTGTGACAGCCAGCCCGGGGAACAGGGCTGTGTGCCCAGTGGTGCCTTCCCAGCCCTGGCTGTGCTGCACCTGTGCCATGGGGTGGCAATTCCAGGTGCTCCCTGAGCTGGGAAAAGCAAAGATGGGCACAGGCAGCTGGATGCTGGGGCTGGGAACCATCATCGCTCTTTGCTGGAGAGACCAAGAGCACAGAGGGGTTTAGGGGAGCCATCACCAGGGGGATGCAGGACAGGATGCTGGTGGGGGGCACTGGTGGGAGCCCAGGGGTCCTGCTCCCAGCCCTGCATTGGGGAGCAGCAGGATGAGCCTCCCCGAGCAGGGTGGGGGTCTGACAGGGCCTGCAGGGGCACACTGCTGATGGTGCTTCCCCAGATGCCCAGGATTTAAGGATCCTCAGGCAAACACCCCAGCTGCCCACCTGAGGCTTGAGGAGGAGGAGAGGAGGCGAGAGGAGGGGAGGGGGCCCAGCAGCTCTGAAATAGCAGCAGCTGGTGTGTGTGTGGGAGGTGCTGAGCACCCAGCCCTGACAGCAGCCCAAAATAACCCAGATCCAGTTACACATGCTCCTTAGCGACGGTGCAGGCATCACCCACCATGGCAGGGACCAGCACCAGCGGGGACCTGGCCGCCCTGCGTGGGCACACGCGGCTCTGCCGGACTGACCGGCTGCCCTCTGTGCCATGGGGTGCCCCCACAGTGCCCAGAGCACAGGGGTGTCCCCAGATGTGGCTGCCCATGGCTGTCAGTGCCAGGGGGTTGCTGTCCAAAAGTGCCTTCTTGGGCTGGGGGCAGGCTCAGTTGGGCACAGGGTGCCAGCAGGATGTGACAGGTCAGTGCCATGCCACGGCTGGAGGAGCTGGCCTGGCTCTGGTCCCTGAGCAGATGGCAGTGGGAGAGGTGAGCCTGTGTCCCAACAGCCTACATCCATTCCTTGGAGGATCTGAGCCCCAAGGCTCTGCTCTACTACCCCAGGGAAGGTCACAGTGCCAGCGGTGAGCAGCACCCCCCAGGAGCTGCCCCAGTGTGCTCCAGCCATCCCCACCAGGACATGCTTGTCCAGTTGCCCTGGTTGGGCAGCTCCTGCCGTGTGCCAGGAGGGACCGGCCAGTCCTGCCCATGTGGGTTCAAACGTCCCCACAGATCCTGCATTCCACCACAGCCAGCTCCCAGGCTGTCCTCCCAGAGCCTGGAACAACCCCAGGGGAGGGCTGGGGCTGAGGAGGGGGTGTCAGGTGCTCCCCTAGCGTGGCACAAGCCCTGTGTGCACCGAGGTGTTATTTCCCCCTCTGGATTTCCCTCCCCTGGGTGACTCAACTCCAGCTAATCCCCCTCTCCCGTACAGGGCTTTATCTAGGACACGACATGCTCAGAGGCGGTGAAGGAGAGCTGGCTCACGCGGCGCGGCTGGGGACTCCCCGAGGCTGCACCGCAGGACGGGGACAAGGGACAGGCGATGGGGACAAGGGACAAGATCCTGACCATCCTGCCCCATCCAGCTCCAAATGCCAGGAGCCTGTTGGGGCAGCAGGAGAACCAGAGCAGCCAGACTTACATAAGTGCTCAGACCTTGCCCTCCTTGCCCCTTGCTCTGCCATCCCTGCAGGAGAGATCTGTCCCGGCACTGTGGCTCTGGGGAGACAGCCAAGTTCACTCCCATGGCACTGCCAAGGGGCTCAGAGTGGCCAGCAGACCCTTCCTTGTGGTGGGACACGAGGACCTGGCCAAGGTCACCGCAAGGGCAGGGCTGGGAGAGGAACCCAGGTGTCCTGACACGTGCAGTTCACCTGCTCCCTGCCATCCTGTGGGACACCGGGACACGCCGTCCCCACGGGCAGCTGGGAGGGCACCCACCCCCAGGCACCCCATCCTCGGGCACGGGGATGGCACGGGGCACTCCACGCTCCCCAGGGTGGGCAGGGGGTG